GGGTTTGAGGTTAACAATATTAATGATGTTAAGGGGCTGAGTGTAAGTATTTAAGACATATCAAAACTTTTAGAAACTAGTTTGGAGATTTTCATTTTTAATATACCAGAAACCTCATAACTGGAAGTGGCCTGGGCCTCCCTGGCCCTCTAAGAGGAAATGGTCCCCCTAATTAAGGGAATGGTACCCAAAGGGGCAGAGATATGGGAACATCAAGTACAGCAGAGAGTTTCCTCTTTGAGGCTTATAGCATAAACTCAGAAAGAGAGTGAGAGACAGGCCCTCAGACAAGACAGGTGTCAGACCAAGGACTGTATACTTCAGGCAATAAGGAGCTACTGCAGTGAGAACATAATAGGAGGAGAAGGAGGGTTAAAATGCAATTTTCAAATCATATCTAAGCTTAAAGATAAACAATAAATATGGAACTGTAAAAGTAGGAAAATTTCAGTCTGTGGGAGAAAGTAAAAAAAAAAGTCCTTAAGATCATATTACACCATTTAAAGTTATCTACACCATGTCCACTCTTCTCAAGAAAACATCCTCTGGGCATAACTATTTTGGATGCTTCTACCGAATTTTGCCACTTAAACAACAAAGGAAATCTGAAGAACCACATCGTCAGCCTGTGGTGCTGAATATTTGGACTGCAGTAACGGTTTCCATTACTGAGATGAAGATGAGCTGTCCTGAAAGCAGAAACAGATGTTGTCAGAGGCTGAAAGCAAAGCTGGCCTTAGGCTGAAATATGCAGCTCTAGAATTTACACACTAACAGGGCAGCAAGGACCCTTCAGGAGCGGCGCAGGGGCTCTGGGTGCTGAATTGCTCCCTCCAACACCTTGATTCTTATTAGTGACACACAAGTTCTCAGGGACACAGCAATCATCTGAGGATAGTGTCAAAGAAGGCAAAATCAAATTCAGGAGGTGCGAGAGGGTCCAACAAAGGCCGCTGGTCCAAGAACCTTGTTTTGGGTAACAAGAATTTATACGATAGAAACACAAAATCTCAGGAAGGAAGAAAGTATTGTAAATCACCTCCCAGTAGTTTTCAGCCTGGACGCCACTTTGATATTCTTAATGTCCTTTGTAATCCAACGTATATATTTTACAAATTTTAAAAGATTATGATGACAAGCTATCAATAAGCTTTATCAGACTGTCAAAAAGGTCCAAGGTAAAAAAAAAAATTAAGAATATCTGAATTCAGCCCTTATTCAATGCATTTATTCACTCATTTATTTCTCTCTTTTTAAATGATGGGTACTTGGGCCCTGGTGATGCAACACTGGAAAAATGACCATCCAGGGAACATAAGTAAACAGGACACATCACCCTCAGGCTTCATTTTTTTATTCTGAGAAAAAACGAGGGACATAGAATAGATGCTCTTTCCAAATGTAATAGTCTATGGTACCATCACCTGAGCCACAGAGAGAAAAAATTACAAGGCTCAAGGTAAATAAATCAAAAGTAAACTGGATAACAACAATAAACAGCTTGAAGATATTTATGACAGCTATCTTTTTAGCTATCAATATTTTTATACAACTTCAGCAATTCAGCAACTTATTATGCAGTCAAAACACCTAGCATTTCTTATCAGAAAATCAGAGGTGGGTATGAGAGCAAATTTTTATGAGCCCAAGAATAGCTTTCTTTTAAGCACTTTCCATCACTTTTTAGGTTATGGGGTTCTGCTCTCCTCAATTTACTTTTAGATAGTTGTTTGTTTGGCAATATTTCCATGGATTTTGAAAGATCTGTTTCTATAGGTGACCTCATCAGGAGAAAATTATTCAAAAATCAATGTTTTGAATGGGACCAATCCAATCGATGGATTGAAAACTCCTGTGCATACTAGAGTGATTTTATGTCTTTCTAACAAGTAAAAATTGTTTTGCATGCTTTACCTTACTTTGTTTAGTTTGAAATAGATTCACAGTAATACCTATTTGGCCATATTCCCTCTATTTTAAATTGTATATTTCTTACATGTAAGCTGCTTTGCTAAAGCCTTCTTTGAAAGAAAAAAAAATAGGTCGTTCCAACGGGGCAAAATATTTTTTTTTCTCTTGGATATTTCTGAAAAGAGGATTAAGATATCATGTCACATTAGAATTTGAAACAGCAAGATGAGAAAAGACATTATTTGGATGAGGGTTTTACAACCTTTTCTGGAGATAAGACCCTCTATTCCTGGGAAATCATGTACCGAGGTTCAACACGTAAAGCAGAGGCAGGCGGACCACCCCGGGTGGAGCCCAGGCTTCCAGTGACCATCACAGCGCCCTCCTCCATCCACGAG